AAAAGTTTTTTTCACAAAGTTCTAATTTTAACAAGTTGTTTCTCACAAAGAACATAGGCATACTTACAATTATACTCCAAAACACATTCTGCTACTCCTCCCAAGTATGGGGATACCACATGCTGTATGTGGGACTTTTTCACAGCCTAGATGCACAGAGAGGCCCAATATCTAAGGAGCATCTTTGGACTGTCAAGGAGCATAAATTACACGTCTAATTTCCTATCAATTTTCGTAAGTCCCTAAAGTGCCAGGACACGAGAAATACCCACAAAATGACCACATTTTTGAAAGCAAACACCCTAAGGTATTTTCTGATAGGCATAGTGAGTCTTTTAAAAATGGCATTTAGGGACAGTGTGACTGATGTGGTGGTTATCATGGACACTGTCAGCACTGGTCTGGTGTGCAGGTCATCAGAAACAATGGCTGGGACACTGACATGCAGTGTTATAAGAGCAGTCAGCCATGGTCTCTGATCACTGCCACAGCAGTACTATGCCACTAAAATGACACCGCACTTGCTCTGGTGAAAAAATGTGAAAAGAAAAAAAAAATTTTTTTTTTTTACATACTGTCACCTGAGCAGTGTAGTGTCACAATAGTGACACTGTATTGCTTTGGGTGGGGTGATCAGGTTTTTTTTTTACCCCGTGATTGTTTACAGTCATGATCACTGTATAAGCAATCACTTCTAACACCATTCGGCTGCATTCATGCACTGTAGAGCATGCATTGGCCATGTACCATGTGATCGCTGTGACCAATACAGTGAACACAGTAGTGAACAACAGCTGCATTTCATCCTTCATTTACAGCTACCTTTTGTGATCTTTGTGATTGGTCAATTAAATTGGCCTTGTACCCTGATCTGTGATCTGCTGTATTCGAGAGACACAGCAATCACCGATCACACCGCTGTGCACCCCAAAGGGCGAGTGCGAGGATGTATAGATACTCCCAGAATGGATCTTGTCATGGTAGGAACGTGGTTAAACCTAGGAGTTGTGTCAGCAGAAGTCTCCTCAGGCACCAGATCACCCAAAAGTGATAGTTGCATATGTAGAAGCAGCTGCAGAGATATCAGACATATTCTGGAGAAGACGTGGAAATAGGCTTGCAGCCCCTTCATTTTGAGTCAGCAATCATCAAAATGTTTTACATAAAATCTGATGTGCTTAGAGGGTGTAAGGGAAGACCCAGAGGAATGCTTAGACTTGAGCAGGGCAGAATGATCCAGGTTGTTGGTGTCAGGTCCAAAGGGGGGAACGCAGCCCTAAAGCTGCTCTTGGAACATGAACTGGAAAGGCCCAGATGATCAGCACACTTGTGCTTATGATCTACCACTGTTGTATGGAAAAGTGAGATATTCCCAAAGGGAACTCACAGAAACTGAGATTTCGGTGATCAGTAACTGTTGGTAGCAGCGAAGAGGACTGATCGTTGGAACCTCGGAGGGAGCTGGTGATGCTTCTACTCAGAAAAAATCTTAATGCATGCAGCTAACTCCCACAGGCAAGTAATTCTCAATACAATACTAGGGTATAAAATAAAATAGGTTTTCTTCATATATATTCAAGGGCACCAGGACGTCATGTGATTTATTTTTGATGATCTTATATGTACAGTATGTACTAACAAAAGGATGTATTAAATTTATTAATGTAGTTGTAATGATGTACCTAAAAAGTCCCACATTTTTTCTGCATATCATGAAAATTCCAAATGGGATATTGGCACATTTGATCTGAATTAAATAGTACTACAATTTTATGTAACACAGATCACCAAGTGCCTTGAAAGAGCCTTTAGCAGAGCCTAGTGCCACAACTTAGACCAACCCTGCATCTGGGAAGGGCCACCAAGGCAGTGCTGAGGATAACCTGGTTCGAAAAACTGCAAAGGACAATCTCTTGGCTCTACAATGAATGAAGAGGCTTGACTGAAGAAAGAGGTTGATAAAAGAGGAAAATATGTTTTTTGCTTTTCTCACAGAGGACGTCCCTTCTCTTGGGACACTAGCAAGAAATTAAAGCATGATGGGAGGTGGGTTTATGCTGGCTAAGTTTTTTTTCCAGTATCCATTTCTACTGTAGAATTAACTATTTTTGGCACTAATGCGCAAAAGTACCTGTGCACGCATGTGCTTTGCAAAGTGGTCACAGTGGGGATGGCAGCCACTTCAAGCTCAGTGCAGCCACCCTGCCCCACCCCAACTTTTACCTAACTTTACAGTGTACATGTAAGATCTGCTGTTTTGTCCAGGGCAGTACAAAGCAACGCACAATATATGTCTTGTTTAGATGCTTTGAAAAACAGACAAGTACTTGACCAATGTGGATCTGCCACTCAGATTTAAATTAACCCTATAAGCAGTTGGCGGAGGTCTGTTCCAGCTATACTCGGCACAGCCGGACTCAGATGTGATTCAGATGGCCTCTAAAATGGCTGTATACACAAACCCCAATTACCACCTGATAACTGTCACAAAATCAAATGTCCCTTGTCCATGAAGAGAGTAAAAGGAGAAGTTGACTTTTTGAACGTTATGCGTTACACCTGTATTAAGGGTCCCTCCCTTTCAGCCCCATGACATCAGGCAGGGGATTCTTCTCTCCTGCTGTCACATTTGAAATCGACGTGGCTGTGCAGGGCTCTGCCCACACAGCTGCTTCATTCATTCACTGTGATCTGTGAATGAAGAACATGTCCTATCTGTCACCAAGACATAGTCTTGCAGTTTCAAAGGACTGCAAGAGTACTGATCAGTTGTAGTCCATTCACACTCCCTCTCGCATTCCAACCTAAAACCTGTACAGAAATCTGGAGGAGAAGTGTACAAGAGCCTGACATTGCATCCACAATCTTTTTTTTTTTATTAAAAGGTGAATTTAGCCTTTGACCTCTTCCATCCTCTGGAACTCCCTACCCCAGTATGTCCGGTCAGCCCCCACCTTGTCCGCTTTTAGCCTACTTCCCACCCTTACATTTAAGTACACATAGTTTTCTATGTTCAGTCACCTGACCAGCAGGTTCCTTTTTTCACAGAACTGTGCAGCAGTACTGTGAGCCCAGGTATGATGATTCACCCCAGTGAGTAGTTCCATGTTGCCTTGGAATCATAGGAAGTGGCTTTAATTATGCGGCCATCATTTAACCAGGAAGGGGACCAATGCTGGATTGAATATTTCAACAAAAGCTGTACCAACAGGCAGAAAGATTAACTACTTTGTCACTGTAGTTGGGTTTTTCTGAAGTGGGAGGAAGAACATGAAGCAAAGTAACAATAGCATCGGGAAGGCAAAGATTTTATTTCCTAATCACGTCAAAGGCTGACTGTTTATTCAGTCAGGTTGTGTAGATTTTTACATAAACATACGCTGTAGCCCCATAACAAGGATTGAACATTGTTGAGAAGAAGCAAGTGCAAGACACTGTGAGAGTATCACAAACTTAATCATTTATATGAACTAAGTCCTTAAATAAAGATCTAGACTTCCAACACATATTAAAGGTTTAGGAGGACCCCTGATTCAAAGAGTGAGATGCAGCAATGCTGAGCCTGAGGCCTGACCATAGTGCAGACACATGATTACAGTAGATTACAGGCAGCACAGGAGGTATTTGCATCAGGGATGACAGTGGGACTTGGCTGACACGCTATACTGCTATAGGGAGAAGACCAAGGAAAATGTCCACAGCTAAAAGTGAAAAATGCCTAAACATAGCTCTAATTTTATTGCGATACATTTTTTAAAAAAACATTTAAATATTAAAGCATTAATTCAGACCAGACTAGTAACTGGATTTGAGGAAGGAGAATTTATGATATCTTGCTTACTAACTTCTGAAAATGCTAGTTGTTTGACTGTCAAGCTGGTCTATTGGCTACAGTCATCCTTAAGACACAGAGCTGGACAAAACTTTGTAGCTTAGTTGTTGTGCCTTCCTTTTCTGCCAACTTGTTCCAGGTCTGAAACACTAAGGGGGTTATTTACGGAGACTGCACAATCTGGTGCAACTCCGCTTGGAAGCCAATCAGCTTCCAGGTGTTATTGCCCAAGATTAACTGAACAAGCTGAAGTTAGAAGCTGATTGGCTACGATGCACAGATGCACCAGATTCTGAGTGCTCCAGTTTTAGTAACTCTTCCCTTAAGTATTAATGATATAAAAGACAGTAATTTTTTTTAAATAATTGGAAGACTTTGTGTTTCTTTCAGCATGGGCTTCCTTAAACTCTTTTTCCCCATTCCAGTGATCCATTTATCTAACAAATTAGGCACAGAGTGCCCTGTGTCCTTTAGCTGCTTCTTGCTTGTTCCATATACAACAATGTTTAAAGAAAACACTGAAAGACCTGAAGGAGGAAATACTTGGGACAAACTATAAATGATAAATCATTCATTGGAGCGTGGAGATAAATTTGTACTTTTCAGCCCCTTTCACACTCTTCCTAAAAACCCTACTTCTGAATGTTTCATGTTTTCCAAATACAAGGCTATATGAAAAGGTGCATGTCCATTACAACAGCTGTGATGGAATACACAGTAAAATATCTATTAACAACCTCATGCAGTGTTTACCAGAGATTGAGAGGACTGGCATAATAAAGGTGGTTATGTGCTCAAAGGACTTGAGTAGAAAGCCACAGAAAAAGCCTAAGCACTGGCACTAATGGCTTAATTCCTACTGTTTAACTCTCACAAACCAATGTCTCCTCCTTTTGTGTAATAAGATGTTAGAAACCTTTTTTTTAATCTCAAACTAATATCACTGCAGGTAATACGATACATTTGTCCCCTCACTACACCAGTTAGTACACTGCTACATCTTTATAATATAAAGCAATTTATTCTCAACACCCTGAAGCTACAGAACTGGAATCTTAACATGTCCTTGTACTTTTGTGTAAGTTTATGGAATTGCATTCAGTTTCCCAATTGTCAGATAGGACAGTGGAATGGTATCAAGGCATAAAAATGGGGATCTGGAGGGTATTCATGCTTCTAACTTCACAGAGTCCAGCATGGCACGGGCATCTTTGTATTCTTCTGTCTCTTCCAATTCTTTTTCATTGTCCTAAAAACAAAAACAGCAGTACACTAGATCAGATAAAAGGTAATATTAGTACGGAACAGGCAGCACATCTTTTACTGCAAATATAGTTTTATAAACATTTGAGCAAATATTGTGCAACATAAATGAGTGTACCTTTTTATCCCATAGGTCCTCTGAAGTATAGATTTTTGGGGGTTCGTTACTAAAGTCCATAATTTACATTTTAGTACATATGTGGAAAATGAATCCAGCAGTGAAAGAGTCAATCAATCTGCAACACAAGCCCTTTTGATGGCCTTAAGAATAAGAAAAGACAGCAATGACTGTGCCTGTACTGCCAATAGCAATTACATTGCTTCCTTTTATTTTTCTCTTTCACTACAAAAATTACAGTATCCTAACAAAAAGCACAGAGGGGAGTTGAGAGGTGATATAGGACAATGTTCCCATTTAGCTACAGATTCGTGCAAGTTCTCTTTGAAACTTTAACCACTTGCCTACTGCCCCCCTCCTCTCCTGCCCAGGCCAATTTTCAGCTTTCAACGCTGTCACACTTTGAATGCCAATTGCGCGGTCATGCAACACTGTACCCATATGAAATTTTTATAATGTTTTTCACACAAATGAAGCTTTCTTCTAGTGGTATTTAATCATCGCTGGGTGCTTTATTTTTTGCACTGTGAACAAAAAAATAGCAAAAAAATTGGAACAAAAAACGTTTTTCTTTGTTTCTATTATAAAATTTTGCAAACAGGTCATTTTTCTCCTTCACTGATGTGCGTTGATGAGGCTGCACTGATGGGCACTTTTAGGCGCCACTGATGAGGTGGCAAACATAGGCAGCCCTGATGAACACTGATGAGGTGGCACGGATAGGCAGCACTGATGGGCACTGATGAGGTGGCACGGATAGGCAGCACTGATAGGAGGCACTATTAGGCGGCATTGATGAGCTGGCACTGATGATGTTGCACTGATAGGCGGCACTGATAAGCAGCACTGATGGGTGGCACTGACCGCACTGCTGGGCACTGACTGGCAGCAATGATGGGCAGCATGCATTGCTGGGCACAAGTGGGTGGCTCAGGTGGGTGGCACTGCTGGGCACTGATCATTAGTGCCTTGATGATCAGTGCTGATCCCTTTGCTGACAACTGCTGGTTCACAGCAGTGCAGTCGATAACCGGCAACTGTATTTACGTGATTCACGTGATTCGGTAAAAGGCCAATCACAGCAGCCTTTTACCACTTGATCAGCTGTGTCCGTAGCGATAACTGGTGGTGCCGGGTGCGTGAAGCTGGGGGTGTGTTCTGGGAGGATGTCCATGGACGTCCTCCCTGAACTAGACCTGTGCTGTAGCTGTCCTTTGGCTATAGCACGGTTAGGAAGTGGTTAAGAGATACAATCTAAAACAGTGATTCAGGTTTGAATTGTCACCCTAAAAAAGCCACTCCTAAGATCAACACGTTAAGGTAATGCCTGATACATGCTATGAGTTCAGGAGGAGCTTGCTGTACTAACTGCAATGTTAGCACAGCGATCTCCCTGCTGAGCTATTGTGTTCTAATAGGGGGGGACTGCTGATAGGCAGATGTTTTTCCAGCATGCCCATTTTACAGAAGCCAGATGTTCGGCTAGCTTCCGTGGGACAGGCTGCTGTACACATGGGCCAAATGTCATCCCATTTCTGTTTGAACTGACCCATACTAGGCCCGAGCTTACCAGGCTTAGATTTTGAACATATGCAAATATGGAATATCATACTGATTGTTCATAGACCCATTTCCTTTTTCTCTGAGAACATAAACAGCTAAAAACTGGCCAAAACATATACTGTGTAAAATTGTAGTTTGCTGTGGCCTCTTACCAATTGTCAGGAGGGACTTTTACTACTTCAGAATATCTTATGCAGCAGGATTTAGGAAGTGACAGGTTCTTATAAATTAATTCAGCCAAAAATTACAAACTACTGTGTAAAATATGGCCCTTATGTACTCTCCAAAAAAACCATAGGTTATAAGTTACCATTCCCCTAAAGTCACAATTCATGATGAACTTGTTGCCACCAATTAGGGCTCATGCACACTGGTTCCAGCTACATTACATAGGTAAGTAGCTCTAACAGTGTGTGACCCAATTAAAGAAGAAGGTAGGTTGTCGTGCATGGGCTGGAACTTTGTTTCAGGAGACACATTATTGCAGCAGCATTTGTTTATTAGATAATGAAAATCTGTGGACAGCAGCATACATACGCTGACCTAGCTGTAAAATGATAGTATCTTCTATTCCATCTAAATGATAAACCCACAGGTATCTGGTGGGAAGGGTGTAGCCTGACTACACACATGCTGATTATGAGATATTAAAAAAAACAAAAGTGTTCTCTGCAGACAATCTGTACATTGCATTGGTTGCCTTGATAAAGAAAATACATGAAAAGCAAATGTATTAAGGGCAAGCATATCAAAGCTTCATTTAAGGGCAGCACAGTGGCTAAATGGTGAGCACGTCTGGTTTTACATCCCAACCATGGTACCACCTGCCTGGAATTTGCATGTTCTCCCTGTGCCTGCGCGTTTTCCTCCGGGTACTCTGGTTTTCCAAAGATGTACATATGCGTATGTATGAATGTGAGTTAGGGACGTCAGATTGTCAGCTATGGTGCTCCACTTCTCATAGTGATAAAATCAAAATGTGAATATAAATACAGTACTGTGCAAACGTTACAGGCAGTTGTAAAAAAAAAAAAAAAAAAAAAAGTAAAAGAACAGAACTAAAATCTAAATCTAACCCCCCCCCATTTTTTTTCTTTTCTTTCTTTTCATTTCCTTATTCTTTAGATGTGGGTGCTGGTGTTACCCTTCTCATGCCACAGTTGTGGCAGGCTTTCCAATATGCCAAGCCAACTATTCTTCATGTCCTATAGAACGCATAATTTCTACATAGTATAGATATTTTGCCCTTTCTTTCTTTTTTTTTTTCTTATAAGCTCATACTGTTGCTTGGCATCTCTGGATGCCTTGTTATAGACTTAACTTAGAGCTATAGTGCCAGCAATGGTTCCAACCTTCTTCTTTTAGTGACCCTACACTAAGTGCTCTTCATATGTTAGCAAATTACAGATTGTCATACATTGCTGTGCTGTCAGTGAGCAAACAATGCCTACAATGACTATTTCTGAGGGCTGTTAGTCTTTTGTTGCCCACCCGCTCGTTGCTCTCCCTGTGAATTTGATAGACGTTATTAAGTATTATGTGGTACTAGATGGAAATGTCACCACCACCACTCTTTGAATTGTTTTGCTTTTGCTGTTTCTACCCTGTTATTCCCTATGTTTGAAAAACCTTAATAAAAAAGACTGTGGAACTTTAAAAAAAAAAAAAAAAAAAAAGGAAGGCACAACAATGATTTCTATATTCTCCTGACAATATGCTCACAGCAAGCACATGAAAAATGGATGAAATGGATGCACCTGGATTATCAGTGTAATAAAATCGTATGACTCAAATACCACACCGTGAGAAAGGAAACTTTGGTCTAGAATAACAGAGGCCTTCGTGCAAAAACAGAAAGATCGGCCTTGGTTGGATTCCCCCCTTTATGTTTCTTACAAATAGACAGATGGAACCAATGGAATGCTGTAGAATCTGTCCAGAAAGCCTAGCTCATTATTAACACTTACTAGGATTTGTGCAAGATCTGTGTATGCTGCTTCGAGCCTACGGCAGCAGTCTGGTATCATCATACGAGATTCCTGTAATATTTCAGTCTGAAAAGGAAAAGAAAAAAATCAAATATTCTACAAATACAGGGCATAAAATCCAATATTTGTGGTTGAAGTAGGACCCTAGGTTACATTTTGATAGGTCTACAAATCATGAGCCACTAAGATGATCAAGTCATGACCAATCCTGCAATACTGTAGAGGGGATTTACTAAATTTGGAGCACACAGACTCAGGTGTAGCCAGTCAGCTTCTACGTTTTGTCAAAGCCTAACCAAAATGTTTGTTTAATAAGCCTGTGTGACGGTGATCGTGAATACAATAGTCTTGGAGTACAGGACACAGGACTTGTACTCATAGACCATGAGTTATATGAAGACTACATTCAGTAGATTGGACACTAGCAAAAAGAAAAAGTTTAAGGGCCACCCCTAGAGGGTATCCATATAACACTGTGTTAGACACAATTTTTTTTTAGCAAACAATAAACAGTAATAAAGATACAGAGGGTAAAGGTCCTGTACTCCAAGGTAATGAATTTACAGATAAGTCAAAATTCCTATTATCCCAGTCATACAGAACAGGACACAGGACTTGTAAGACCATGGGATGTACCAAAGCAATAAACTGATGGTGGCCAACAACAAGGCAAACAGAATTCTTAACTGACCTACAAGATCAAAAAGGGTTAGAGATCCCAAACAAAACTCAGAAAACAGCTTTATGCATTTAATAGCCAAAGTTTACATCAGCCGAAGCCTGATTATCCACCTGGTAGAACTTAGAGACTGTGTGAACAAGGAACCAGGTTGTGGCTTTGCAATCTAAGGAGGAGTTGCTTGATGCTGATGCTGAAAAGCCCAAGATATACGAAAAGCCCTGGTGGAATGGGCTCTGATAGGGAAAGGAGGAATTCAGTCCCTAAGGTCGTAGGCCTAAGAAACAGGTTGCCTGGTTCACCTGGCAATGTTGGAATGGGAAAGTAAATTTCCTTTACCAGGGCCCAGAGGCAGAAAAAAAAATACCCAGTCTTGCAAACAGAAGGTGTGGCTGCCAGGTAGCGCTAACATAGAGGCAATGTAGGGCAATTACCTTGTCCTGTTTTGGGACAGGACAAAAAGGACAGGAGGGCAATGTCCTCAAAGAGGTGTAAAGTAAAGGCCACCTTAGGTAGAAAAGAAGGTTCTGGTCTCAAAACCACCTTATCCTTGTGCAAAAAAAGAAAGGACATTTACCAGAAAGATCTGCCAACTCAGAATTGCAAATAACAGTTTTAATCGTCACCAGAAAGGCAAATGTAAGTGAGGTCTTCCAATGAGGAATATAAAGTCATTGTAAAGGTTGTAATTTTTTTTTTTTGATAGTAAACATGTTATACTTACCTGTTCTGTACAATGGTTTTACAGAGAGCAGCCCCGATCATCTTCATTTTGGGTTCCCCACCGACAGGCCTGGCTCCCCCCCCCAGAGACATGCACCCAATAGCAAGCCTCTTGCTATGTGATCACAAGGCGTGGCCCCGTCCCCTACTCTTTCCTCAATGCCTCACAGGCTGTGCTTGACAGCAGAAGGATCCAATGGCTCTCGCAGCTATGTGAGCCAATGAGAAAATACAGAAACATGGGGCTGAGATGGGGCTCAGATAAGTATAAGTGGGGCTAGGAAAGGAGCTGCACCAATAAAGTTTTTTACCTTTTGTCTGTAGAACCACTTTAAGATCCCAAGTTGAGACGGGGATGAACTGGGGGATTTAAGCCACTACCTAAAGAAAAGTCCTGATTAGGGATTGTGAGGCAATACGTTTCTGGAATACCTGTCCTCGGTCAAGACCAGGATGACAAAAGAACAAAATATGAGCGACAGAGAATTCCCTAGGACTCAATTTCCCGTCTTCACACCAGGAAAGTAAGCTTTTCAAGTGCAATGGCAAATCTTGCAGAAGCTGGATTTTCCTGTAAGGTGGGAAAAAATGGTAGAACGTGCCTCATTATGCTCATGATGGGATCCATAGTGAATACAACCAGGAAAGACAGGTAAACACATACTACTCTCTGCTTCCGCTCTCGCTATTTCTCTCAAAATATCTGAGATAGTTACTTTTTTACTGTTTTTCAGTGCATTCTGGGCATCTTGGAAGGTCTCCTGATGTTATCTTTAAAAAACGCTTCTAAACGCAAACGCGCATAAATGCGGTATGCAAGCGTGCCTCAACAGATGTTTTTTAACCTACGTTTTTCAGCATTCAGAAGTGTTTTCCAAACGTCCCGTGTACATGAGCCCTAAGAGTCTGAAAGGCTTTAGCGCTTAGGTTTCAACAGCAATGTCATTAAAGGCAGTGACTGAGACGCAGGATGAAAAATGTGGCACTGAACCAGTAACTCTAGTCTGTTTGGACCTGGCCAAGTTTCTTCCACTAGAAGTCTGGGTAAGTCTGTGTGCCGATTTTTAGAATGAGAATTACTGGAACCCTTTTCTCCTCTATCGTGTGTAACAGTCCACTGTTCAACAGGTAAAAAGTTTTGGGCATAAAATTAGCTAATCTTACATAATTTTGGGGTGCTGAAAACGAAAATGACCCTAAAAAATGTTGATTGGCTCTAGTTTCCATGATATATTCACCCATCTAATGACGTAAGCCATTCAAAATTATGATGCAACTTCAGCTGCATATTGCGCAATTGATACTGGTGACCAATAGAAAATTGCATGTATACTGAGATGATGCAATATTAGCCTTTAATTGCATCACTTCACTGCATAAAAGCTGCAGTATCTGTAGCTGATTGTAGTTCGACAGCGTCTTTACATTTCGTTTTATGCTTATATAGGCTACTCAGTAATGCCTCGAACTTGTGTGAATAAAGCAGATAATTTCTGCTATATCTGCGGTGAAATAACTTTTATCTCACAAAAAAGGAGGATAACAGGAATGATTAAGAAAGCCTACAACTTGTATTTTGGCTGCAAGATAGGAGAGACCAGGACAAGAGCTGGGCACCACATATATGCTGCAATTCTTGTGGGACGGCACTGGAGCAATGGTTGAATGGAAAAAAGGCATCTATGGCTTTCGCTGTGCCAATGATTTGGAGAGAGCCAACAGATCATGTTAGTAATTGTTACTTTTGTATGGTGCCTCCAATTGTAAAAGGGCTAAATAAGAAGAAAAAGTTATCTGTGCACTATCCAAATATTCCATCGGCAATACGTCCAGTTCCTCATGGAGAGGGGCTACCAATTCCTAAAGCACCAGAATCCTTCGTGGTTGAGTCAAGTGAGGAAGAACCTGAAGCGTGTAGTCACGTGCAGTTGTAAGAGATAGCCCTTTCCTCGAATACAAGAGAAAAGCCAAGAGAAGCAAAACCGACACAAACTGAAGACAAAACTAGTGAGAATCCTAAGTATTAAAATGATTCAACTTAGCTTATGGCTACAATTTTTCTTGGTAATCCTTTGCAATATATTATGCCATTTAGGCTTTGTTATGTAGTCAATATCACTTGCTTTATATTTGTGGAAAGACATCTATCTATATAATTTATTATGCATTATGTAGTCATTACGCCTATAGTAGAAAACTTTCCGTTTACAGAAAAACTAGAGCCAATTGACAAATTTCATTGTTATATTTGAACTCAGAATGTGAAATTCATTAAGAAATGGATCCTTTTGTTTCCAAAACTGGCAAAAAATAAAAATTTGTTGAACAGTGAGTCAAGAGAGGATCTTCATTGAAGGGAAGGCATAATTAAGCTTGAATTGCATTGAAGGACTCACCAGAGCAACTACTGTGAAGGCTAGAGGACTGTTGGTCTTGGCCACAAATTTTTTTAGCTTATTGATGTCCTCATCTGGTTTTTCCCACCTTTGACAGATATTTTGAAAGACCTCTGGGTGTAAAGACCCCTCCTTTGGGTCCAGGCATTGATGAGAGGTTCAAAACGCTTTGTGCAAGAGAAACATTTTGGAGCTTTAAGTTGGGCTCTTTATTTCCGGAAGGATTGAATGAGAAACTAGTCCAGTGTTTCACAACCTTTTTTTCAGTCAAGGCAACCTTTGAAAGTATATTCAGTCTTGAGGCACCCCAGTCTAAGACTAGGTTCACACTAATACTGGGTCTACTAAGGGTCCAGGCTTCGTCCGTCACAGTGGGCATACCCCCAAAGGGGTATTCTGGGTCTGGGAACCACAGAAATGGACTACAGCCCTGAACCTGTATAGAACCCTGCAGCTAACATGTTGTGCTCTGTGCCAAGGTGAGAGCCCAACATAGAATCCAGGGCTGGCCCCAAGTAGCTGGCCCCCATGTAGTGTGGTCCAGGTATGATCCCAAATGTTTACACAGAGATCAACCAACCTGGAAATTGATAGGTAGCCATAAACAGTCAGATCTTGTTAGAGGTTTTAGAGAAAAAAAGAAAAATACTTCTCCAGAAGAGAACAAGTCCATCAATTAGGGACACTAAAAAAAAAGTGAAAGTAGACTGCATATAACCTATTGTCTATTAGTACAAGAAGTCCTGTACTTTACAATTAAGAAATACAGCGTGGGTGTGTACTGTAGTACATACGTACATATGCACACACTTAAGTTTGAACTAAGAGACCATAATGGGACTAGAGGATATGGAGAGGGTAGTAAGCAGCCTATATGACTCAGGGACATAAATGAATTTGCTAGGCAATGCATGAATAACAGCACATACATTTTATAAATTAAAAAAAAAAAAAAAAAAACTTATTCACCTATTATAAAATAAGCATTGTGTTTTATTACACATACTGCATGTCATTGCAACCACACTTTAAAAGATCTTTTAATGAGAGCACCATTGGGTGGGCTCCCATGGGAACCTATGCACATAGCACTTGTCTTTGTGTCTATCTGTGCAGTGGTTGCTGAGCTGTGGTGTTGAGTAGCTAGCCCCACCCATCTGCCTAGCTATCCAACAACACAGAACGAGAAAGTGACAACATTTTGGTCAAAACTAGCAAAATTTTTAGCAGTGACAAGGTTTTGG